GTGTATTTCAGGTATAATAGAGTAAGTTATAACACGCCTGGAAATCAGCAGCTATCCCCTTAAACTCAGTAATAATAGTTTTCTATCGCATCTTAATCCGCTCTTTAATTTTCAAGCAGAAGGGAAAAGTATTTTTTTCTGTCAGTACAGTAACATTTTAGTAAAATCTTATATCTGCTAAAACAGCTTTTGAAGTCGTCCCTATTCCTCCTGGTATGCATTACCTTTTCTAGATTATCTTGCTACTTAAATGCAGTATTTCTTCTCCAATCTCTGCTTTTTCACTAAAAAGTAATACCTTTAAAAATACTGCAGCAAAGCAGCAATCTCTTACTTTTGCATGTGCTAATCAGTGATGTCAGTAGCATCTCAATTCCCGCATAAGAAGTTACTATGTCTGATTGCAGACAGATCAACTAGTAGCAATTTAACTATATAACTATATATATGCAGTCTTATATACTCTTTCTCCAGCACAATTACACTCAAAATAAGAAACATCTGTGTCTCTTGCCTTTTTGTGACAGACTGAAAAATATCCTGTCCAAGACACAGGAGTACCTAAAGGTAAGTATTGTGAATTCTGTCTATTCAGGTGTCATAGATCTGTGGTGTTATGTGCAATGAAACCATTGGTGTTATCCAGCAGGTTGAAACACTCTTACTTTTTCCTAGATTTTTAAGTTTTAAATGTAGTGTCGTCTTCTGTATTTTTAAGGTCAGTTTGGTGTATATATATATAACTTTTGAAATTTGCTTCCAAAGTTTAGTTTTGATCTAAAAGTCAGTCTAAAACTATCATCAGAAGATCTTGGTTCTCAATCTGGAAGGAAAATACAGTGGTGCCATCAAAAACAGTGTTCAAAGAACAGATGGTAGAGATGTGGTAATGTTAGAAGGTGGTTTTGAAGAGATTACCAGTGCCTTCAGGTTACCAGAAATATAATCCAGAAATACCTTCCAGATCTCTTGCCTCTGATTGCGTTCTCAGCCCTATAACCAATTAACTCTTCATGCCATGTTTTACTTTCAGTAGGTATTAATACCATCTACTTGGGCACCTAATATAGGTCCACTCTGCACAAGTTCCTGCCTCTCCTCACTGAAAATGGAGTGAGGGAGTGCAGGTTCTGCATTGCACTGAAGTAAAATACTTGGATTACATAGTGTGCATATCCCCTTTATGGTTTCCTTGACATGTGGGGTGGGGTTTTTTTGTCATCCCAGGCTTCACCGTTGTTTTTTGTCCAGGGAATGCACTGGCAGGGGCTCAGTTGAGGAGTGCTCTGCAGGTAGTGTGTTTTCCATCCTGTGTTGCACAGCAGGTCTGCAGCAGGGACAGACACAGGAAACTACGCAGAGGCTAGTCATAATGGGAACTTTTGCTGAGGAGCATGAGCAATATACCACTGGGGTGAAAGAAAAGTTAGAGACTAAACTTGGGGGCTTGGGGGAGCCAGCCAGAGGAAACGAGCATCTTCTCAGAAGTGCTGCTTGGTAGGAAGGGAGAATGTGTGTTGAAAACTAATTTGAAATCATAAACTACTTTCTGTTTATTTGCAGCCAGGTGGTTTGTTCCTTCAAAATTGTTTATGAACACCAAAGCAATTTCTCTGTAACATTCTTTTCCATGTCCTGTCCTTTTATTTCACCTGTGACATCAGGTCCCCCTCAAAATTAATTAGATAAATTCCTGAATTTCAAATTTGTCACAGCTGTTTGAAATCTGAGATTGCATGTTTTAAATGCATTTCATTTAAGAATGCAAACTGAGAGGAAGTAGAAATTTCAGCACTTTCTGTATAAAGGAAATGAACTTACTTTATTTTTAATTTTAGTCTATGCTTCCTCTTGCTAAGTTTAGAAAAAAAAAAAAGAGTACGCACTAATATATCTTGACACTTCCCCTTAGGACTTGAAAGTGATACAAATACCTCTTAATATTCTGTTCATTTCCATGATTTAAATTGTTTTCTGAGAATGACTTTTCATAACTATTTCCATAAAAATACAGACTTAGAAATACGAATCTGTGAGCTAAAAAGTGTTACAGATATGCAGGTCTGATTCTGTGTAACACAAAATTATGTTTGCTTCAGATATAATGTTTGAATAAACACTACATTGGCCGGGGGTGGGGTGGGGGCTGGTTTGTTGCTTTTTAGGTCAATTAATTAATGGACCATTTTGGGGCCATAACTTATTAAAGTTCTTAGCACCCTCTACTGATTATGCATTAAAGGTGGGTTGAGGGAACTTCTCATCTTGCAGGACTAGGCTTAATGTTTACATCATGTTTTAATTATAATTCTACCTCCACCCAGATACAGAACAAATTTCACACATAATGTTTCCACAGAAATGAAGTGGAATTTTGATGCCCATACTCTGCATTTTCAGACAGACTTTTTTTGATTTTTTTTTTTTTTTTTTTTTTTTTTTTTTTTTTGTGGTGGTGTTGTCTCTGGACCTACAGTCATAAAGAATAAAGATAATCCTTATTAAGCATTTACCCTGCTGGGGTGGAATACTATTTGGCTTTAAGTTTCAACAGTCTTATAAAACCAGAAAAAGAGGAAAATCATGATTTTTTTTTTTTCCTTGCAAGTGTAAGGATGAACTATTTGATTCAGATCAATTTCTTGAGTTAGATAAGGAAATATGTCTTCTTTCTGTTATCTGATGATTCATAAAGCTAAAAGCTGTTCTTTAATGAGATCTTACCACTAAACGAACAGCAAATGGAAATGTACCAGCGCTACAAATGTAGTTGCCACCATGGAGAGTTCTTGTGTGTAAAAATGTGTAGAATATAACCTCTTTTAACCTCATGTTAATGGTTGGTCAGTACCTGACCCGGGGGAATTATGCAAATGGTTTGATGATGAGGACCTTATTAATCATGCAGAGTGAAATTTGTCTGTTTGCACAAGGTTCACAAAGGGCTATGCATCCATTGTACCCTATGTTGAGGGCTGAAGTGAAGCTTGAAAGGTAGATAGAGTTTGTGCTGTACTGGAGAATGTTGTGCTTTTCAGTGGACTCCCAGGGCAGTTGATAAACACACTTTGAAACGGATTATTTCAGTGTTTCAGAAAACTCCTGTGTAGTAGAGATAAGTAGGAATAGCCTAATTCACAAAGGGGTAGAAAAAATGGTAAATATTGGTGAAGTACATATTTTAATAATGACCAGTGTAAGTGTGATGAGAAAAGCAAAGCAAAAAGGGATTTTATTGACTTCCGACAGTTGTCTTCAGCCTACTTTGATGTATTAGTTTGGTTAATATTCTCTGGTCAGCTTTCTGAAAGAAGAACATGACTCTTGCTTCAAAAATAGTGTGGCGTTTGCTTAAAAAACAATTGCTACGCTAATATCTGATCTCTGCAAGGATTATTTTTCTTCACACAGTCGTGCTCTGCATGATTGTTGCAGTCTCTGCTGTTTTAATATTTTGGGCTTTTAATCCAGCATTTCCCAGTGACTGATCATGATATAGAGTTAAATTTTGTATGCTAGACACCTATAATTTACGTTTGATAGTCTTACTATTTAAATTTGTATTTGGGTGGAAGACCAGTGTTTCACAGTCTTTGTCTTAGATGAGGAATACCTAACAGATCAAGTTACATTGGAAATTGCATCTGTGAACATCAAGACCCTTACGTCAGATTCTGGCCTAATCCAACAGGTAAGAAAAATGATACCTGAATGTGAACTAAGTTATTGCTATTGATTAAATAAGTATGTTAACAAAGAAATATATTTTTGACTGTATCTGGAGAGCCTGGAATTACTCAGTAAAACAGACCAGAAATAGACTCTCTTTTCAAGAGTTCAATGAAGTAAGCTTTTGTGGAGAAGAGCAAAAGAAAGGTTATTTAATCATTAACATGTAGTTTGTAGTTTAAATAGGTTTTGATTAGTGTGTAGATGCTCTGAAGAAGAACTGACAAAGAGTTAAGGCTTTGTCATGCATGCTCTCCCTCTTTCCTGCT